AAAAAAAAAAAAAAAAAAAAAAAAAAAAAAAAAAAAACCAATATTTTTAAATCCATCTCAAAGCTAAATACATCCACACAAAAGCAGGGGAAAATAACTATAATAATCAAGAAACAAAAAATAAAATAAAAAACAGGGAATAAATAAACCCAATAAACAGAAAAAACTTACAGGAGAAAAACCCTTCTTTGCATCACAAGACTCCATTGAAGTTGATAACCTCTGATCAAAGCTACCTTATTTTGTGTGTGTGTGTGTGTGAGAGAAAGAGAGAGTGTGTGTGTTAGCAAAGAAAAGATTTTTGAGTGTGTTAATTTTGGTGGAGATAATGAAAAGTTTTAGCCAGAAAAAGAGTGGAATTATGGATTCAAGTACAGATTCTTTTTTTTTTTTTTTAATCTGAATAATTATGTCAGCTGCTAAAAAAATAAAGCTTGCTTTAGGAAAATTTATTGCCTTTTAATAATTTGACTTGTGCAATTTGGAGTGGAGTAGTCATTAATTTGCCCTTTTTTTTCATTTATTGAATTATTAATATGGGAATTGGCTTCTTAAATTATTAATATGGGAATTGGCTTCTTGACTTGGCCATATTTTTTCTTCTTATTATGTTCTACCTTTTTTTTTTCTTAAAGCTGGTGGAAAGGGACTTGAAACGTATGTGTTGAAATTATTCAATATTATATTTTTTTTTTATTTCAAAATTTAATAATAATTTGATGGTTTAAGTAATATTTTTTTATGATTTTTATATGTTTATTTAGTGATTTATGAGTAGATTTTATATTTTAGAAGCAAATTATAAAGATCATAAATGATATGGAGCCATCAAACTGTTCTATTATAGTCATTCATAACTTTATGTATTGCTATAGGACAATGCTAATGTACTCCTTGATGTACCACTTGGTTTACATCTAATGGTTACATGTACTTATTTACCCTTAATGAACAATTTAGTAAATTGTTCATTAAGGGTAAACGTGTACATGTACCCCTTGGATGTAAACTAAGTGGTACACCAAGGGGTACAAGTAGCATTATTGATTGCTATGGAGCAATCGAATAGTTCCTTATAGAGTCATCCATAACTTTATATATTGCAGAACACGTGTTTAATGTGTATTTATTGCAGAACACATGTCAATACACCATTTGTCGATAACTATGGATGGCTCCATAAGTCGAGCCATCCCATGGCTCCACAACAAAACCATTATAAAGATACTTAAATATAGGTTTATCTTTTACTTGATTGCAGGGGCGTAGTCAGAAAAAATATTCACACTGGGCTAATTCGAATACAAATGTATTATTTGAAATGTGGGATGACAATTATTTGTGTTATCTGTTGATGTTGTCTCTTTTTTCTTGATGTTGTCTCTTTTTTCTTGATTGTTTTCATTTGTTTGGTTAGTTGTGCCTTGGACATTGGACTTATAGACTTGAGTCTATTTAGAGCCTTTTTATATATAGATTGGGGGTCCGACCTTAACCCCACCCTTACGGGGTGTTGTTCTAGAGAAAAAAAAATGTAGGATGATAGATAGATAGACCGATTTATCATACTTTTAAAATTATAAAATATATTTTAATATGAAATGTTTACTGTTTTATATATTTAAATACAACTACGAAAATATATAAATTTATTAGAAATAATGTAATATGCACTATTAATTAGGCCTTCAACCTAGCTCAGACCTATATGTATTAAGTATCGAAACTTAAAATTATAATTACAATAAATATTTTAATTTCATGAGTACTTGAGATTTTAGAGTGAAACAATATTTTAATTATGAATGATTATCACATTTTCAACAATAATAAACATGTTCTTCAAAGTAAAAATGTCTAACAAGTTATGTTAGTTAATAAACAATGAGTTCACATAAAAAGACTAAAATTAGTGTTACCAACAAACAAAAATGATACTGGCTTAATTTTTGTTAGAGATTTTTTTTTTCAAATAATTAGTTATCACCAAATATGTATATTGAGCTTAAATTAAAATATACATACACATACAACTTAAAATAAAATTTCATATAGGCTGAACTAACTTAACAAAAATATTTTTTATTCTTAAACATAATATATATACTAATTAACATAGGGAAGAAATTGACCCTGGGCTAAAGCCCAGGTTAGCCCCTACCTGGCTACGCCACTGCTTGATTGTGCTACTCCTCATCAATAAGAAAATTTCAATTATATTGTTGTATTGTGTTTATTATTTAAATAAGGCTAAGTGTGCAACTCAATTATTGGAAAATCTGTCAAACTTAGCTAAAGACAGCTCTTATTCTAATAAATGGAAATTACTTATGATATTTGTTATGTTTTTACTTAAATTAAACAATTTTCCAAAGAAGATGGTGTAATACAGGGCCTTAAATGAGTTAAATCGAACTCGAGTTTCTAATGCTCAAGTTTAGATTCAAGAGTATATTCAATCGAGCTTAAACTTAACTTGTTAACTAAATTATAAGTCACTAAGCTCATTTATCATTATTAACAAATCAAACTCGAGCATAACTAATTGAGCTAAAAAAACTAAATGAAAATTTTCAACTTTCGAAACTTGACGAGTCGACGTCACGGTAATTAGTTTCCTTATACAACTCTGAAGTTGTTACAATAATGTAGCCCTTCTCATTGAAGATTCTTTCAATCATTATTATCATTTTCAATAATATTTAAAAACAGAAATGCTATAGATACATAATATTGTACATAGTAGTTTACATAATAGGGCTGTAAACGAATTGAGCCGCTCACGAGCGCTCGAGTCAAAGCTCGACTCGAGCTCGAGTTTGACCAAACTCGAGTCGAGCTCGAGCGGCTCGAGCACGCACTCGAGTCAAGCTCGAGCCTATATTTTGCCTTATCGAGCGGTTCGTCGAGCGGGTCGAGATACACATTGTTTTACTAAAATACCCCTTATTATATATATATTAGCATAGGTGTTTAATTGTAATTTTACCTTTCCACTTAAAAACTTTCGAGTCGAGCTCGAGCCTATATTTTGCCTTATCGAGCGGTTCGTCGAGCGGGTCAAGATACACATTGTTTTACTAAAATACCCCTTATTATATATATATATTAGCATAGGTGTTTAATTGTAATTTTACCTTTCCACTTAAAAACTTTCGAGCCGAGCTTGAGCTATTGTAATTTTTTATCTTCGATCTCGAGCCTAAAAAAATTGAGCTCGACGAGTTCGTGCTCGAGCTTGAGCAACTACAAAAAAATTTAATCCTGCTCGATATGTCCAATGTTCGACTTGGCTCGACTCCTTTGCAGCCTCAGTACATAACACTTACATTGAGTGAGACCCACCAAATATAAAAAAAAAA